ACTTCTCAACATGCCTTTCTCCTCCATCCTTCTTCCTCAAATAACCCCCTATGATGGGATATTTTGGCTCAGTAAGGCGCTACTATAAGGTACATATCCAAAGGACTTTTCTTGATCTCCCAGACTCTGACAATCTCGTACACTATATTACGGTGGCTCCTCTTGACTACTCTGTACTCATGTCCCTAACTCTTTCCTCTGATAATTACTTAAATTTTCTGATTTACTTTTCTTAGTAGCCAATGTCTTCTGGGCTATCTTATTTTTCTTGCTAATGTCTGAAAGAGAGGGAAAAATGAAAACACATTACAAATTCAATATAGATCCCACGATGCCTCTGCTTGTATTATTCTAAAAACTGTCAATCTGAAACGAAACAAAACAAAACAAAAATCTGAGGTAAAATGAAAAGCTAAGATTGTTTTTGAATCATGTCTGGTGATGGTCACACAGGAGGACTGAGATTCTTTCCATGCAATATGGAATCCATGTCTATAAAATGGCCTCTGAAAGGGTTAGACGATATAAGCAAAATGGAGAAGAAGGAAAGAGAGTACAAAGGTTATTTGTAAAAATAATTTTTTCTTAAGAATTTATGTTGATTTACAAAAATAACACACATTTCTAATTAGCTTTCTTTTGTTTCATGCATCCTACATTCCAGGAATATTGCAACAAGCAGGAGGTGGAGCCATGGTGTATAATGTGCAATTTGTGGTAACCTAGGATAATTTCTTAGCTAGGCCAGCTAGTTTAGGGAACTCTTTGTTAAAATAACGTCCCTGAGCAATTATTTAAATCAAGTGTGCTTATCATATAAATACTTTGTATCCTCTGCTATTTCTATTCTGTCCCTATTCTTTCCTTTTTTCTCCATTTTCATTTCTCCCTATGTCAATTCCAAAATCTTTGGTACTTTTTGGTTGTCATGTTTATGGAAGTAATATGAGGTATGACTAACGCTTCTGCTTACTTTTCCCATCAGCTCCATTACTCCTTTACCAGTTTCTCACCCAGAAAGATCTCTCCATTATTACCACTACTGGGTGCTAACTTAGGTCTTCAAGTCTCTGAGGTTAACATGTTTTCCAATATAAAGAGAATCTATTTCTCTTAAAATATACCATTTTTTTAATCATAACCAAATCTATTATTGCAATGAAATTTGTCAGGTTACTGGTCTCGCTGAAGGCAGTAAATGTATTTGGGCCAGCTCTGACACTAGCTTATCTTAACTCGGGCAAGTAACTACAATAGAAATATATTTCCCCTCTTATACCAATAACTTTAATACTTTATTTGGACCAAATGCTTATTGTTTTGTTTGCCAGACAATCGGCCAGAGTTGCATCTGTTTAAGAAAAAAATGATAAAATAACGCATGTTAAAGCATCTTAAGGAAGACTTTATTCAGGATCATCGTGATGCTTATAGGGACACTACAGTGGGTTCTTGCAGTGAGGGAGAGAGACTGGGCTCAACTGTGATACAATGTGGGCCAGTGGGAATTTATAAAAGAGGAGCAAAGTGGTAGTCAGTGGGTGGGAAATTACTAAGAGGAAACATTAGGGGTAAGGGAACTCTGACTAAACCAACATAGCAGAATTCTTGCTGAAGACCGGCTAGGTAGATTGTACATTATATGAGGGATGGTAGAAGATGACAAAAGTAGGAAATTATAAATGAGGAGCAAGGTGGGAGTCAGTGGATGGAAAATTGCTAAGAGGAAACATTAGAGGTAAGGGGATTCTGACTAAACCGATTTAACAGGATCCTTGCTAAAGATAGTCTAGGGAGATCAGACATTCCCTAGGGGATGTTAGATGGTCCAAGGGTGTTTGGATATTGAGAAGGGGAGGGGGGTTCTTGCCAAACTGATTTAGCAGCAGGTTTTGCTACAACTGGATTTTAAAAGAAAGCAAACAGATAGACATGGAAGAAGGTTCAGTAGCCTGACTAAAGTTTGCCCAAGCAAAGAATCATGATTATATCTTACTTGTCACTTTCCCCTGTTCTGTCGAGTTGAACTGAATTTGAACAAATATTTCCTCTTTAAATCAGAGGTCAAATCCTGGCTTTTCAATCAGAGGAGTAATCTGTTTTTGGACTAAATATATCTCCATGAAAAACCCAGTCTTACGAATTTGCTGTGGTTTCAGTGTGTACCCACCTAAATTCATGTTGACATTTGATTACCAATGTGGTAGTATTGGGAGATGGGGTCTAGTGGGAGATATTTGGGACATGGGAGTGTATCCATCAATAATAAATAATGCCCTCTCTCACAGGAGACAGTGAGCTAGGTTTTGAGGGGGTATGTCTTTTTTTTTTTTTTTTAAGAAGTTTTAGCCATTAGGCTGCTTTGCACTGGCCAGAAAGACAGAGGGAGACAGAGAGACAGAAAGCGAGAAATCACCCCCCAGGGGGGATGGTCACGCCGCAATCCCTTCTCCTCTATTTTCCTCTCGGGATCTTGGGCATGTACACACACATGCCTGGCATGAGTTTAAGCCACCAGGACCGGGAGAATAGTGTTTATTTTTTGCTTTATTACATTTAGAATATCTATTTAAAACACTGTTTCCCAAAGTAAATTAGGTCAGTTTGTTTCTCCTCCATACCCTGCAATGTGATTATGTGATCCGCTTATAAGATAACTGGATTTGGGTCAGCCTGTCATGCGGCGGTTAAGGTAACTGGATCCCACACACATGGTTGATTACAAGGTTTGAGTCCCAGATCCAGCGACTTGACAAAACCTACCAGGTGTGTGTGCACGCATACCCAAAATCCTGAAAAACATCCCAGATGTGTGCGCAGGCATACCCAAAATATTGAAAGGAAGAAGAAAGAAATGGTGCAGAAGGGATTGCAGCATTGCTATCCCCCAAAGGGAGGGAGTACTTTCTAGCTTTTCTTCTCTGCTTTTCTTTAGCAAATGTATGTACCTTCAAACAG